GGGAAGGTGTGTAAGTGTTAGTCGTGTGGGGATGCCCCCTCACGGGGGCGTACGTGTCTTTTGGTGTATTTGTCTGTCTGGTATATTGTTTGTCGGGGGTCGCAATTTTAAAGAAATGTATTCTAAAGTAATGCAAATAACTGATAAATAAGTAAAAACTTACCTGGGCATAACCCCGGCACAGGTGCTGTAACAAAGATGCCGACGGCGTCTATGCTTAAGCCGGGGATTAGGTCGGTGATTAAAAGGAAAGAAAGGGATTCTTTCCAGGTAGCCTTAATAAAGGCAGGTAGAATTTGCTCCTTGCACTACACTTTCACAAAACACGTGTGCTCTGGTCGGCTGCCCGCTAGGAACTGCTGGTGATCGCAAATTCGTGGTCATCTTCGATGGTCCAAAAAAAAAGGATAAACATTAATAATTACATATATTTTAGTATTAGCTCTCACACATTCTTACACTTATTTTATTTAATGATTATATTTGTTCAAATAAAAATTTGTATTCACTACTTATGTATCGTTTTGAGAAAGTGGCGAATGATATAGAGCATTCGATACCTGCACTATACGAATTGTGCGAGACCGATTACACTGTAAATATGAGTGCTTGAGAATTAGAACAGAAAATAGCAAAAGCAGGAAAAAAGCTGTTGAAGAGAAGATTGTGGAGCCAGAACCTCCGCACGCCGTACGAGGCATTACTCTTTTTGGAAAGAACTTTTACGTATTTTAGATTATCTACAAACTGTGATTATGAAGTGATTCGCCTGGAAAAGTTTAAATATCATTCATTTTTACCAATCTCAAGAGTAACGTTACCCGTTAAGAAAAGCAGAAGGCATCTCTTGAAAGTCACTTTATTTCAAACAGAAAATACAATACTGAGCACACAAAACACTAAACCACACTTCACTGTTGTCTGTTGTCCTGTAAAAAAGAAATTCCTTAAAAAATTGACCACAATTTTGACACTGCACGTAACGCTATCCTCTTTTTAGACGTTTAAAATGGCCCTTATTTTCTGCTTCATAAACCTGCTTATCGAGCTGGCCTTCTGGCTATCATGCTCCTGCGTCTCCGAAGTCCCCTTCGAATAGTGCACCTGGAAATTGATCTTATTTACAAATCGATAAAAAATTCCAGAATTATTTGCAGAATTTGTTTTTGCATTGCAAAAAAAATTTGTAATACGAAATTGGATGCATTTTTGGTAGCATCTGATCCTTCTTAACAAAGCTGGCTCAAAATAGATTGGCGCAATGTACCAAAAATAAAGCCATAACTAAATACTTAAGTCAGCCATATATATTTTTCGGTACAAATGGTCCTTAGGGCTCTAGGCAACCAGCAATATATTTTTATAGATTTTATTACACAGTTTGTCTAAATATGAATTAATGCACAAATAATAGAGTTTCCTCCATTCTAACGCAGATTTTCTATGAAATGGAAATAGTGTGAAACTCAAATTACTTTTTGGTGCAAAGAAATTTGTAATTTACGACTCAAATTACAAATTTCTTTACACCAAAATGTAATTTGCGTTTCAAACTAAGCCCATTTTATAGAAAATCTACGTCAGAATGGAGGAAAGTCTGTTATTCGTGCATTAATTCATATCTAGACAAACTGTGTAATAAAATCTATAAAAATGTATTGCTAGTTGCCTATTTGCTATAGATCCCTCTTAAAGAGATTTGTCTTAACTGATTTCTAATCTAATTATTTTTAATAATGCTTGATGTGTTTGTGCATACTGATCAATTTTAGATTTTTAATTTTTTTTCTTTCAAAATTAGTGATCTTTTTAATAAAACAAAGCTTGGAAATGGACTGTGTCTCAACTGATGGTACTTCGCACTGTACCTTTTTCACTGGGCGGTGCTTCAACTGATGACGAGTCAAATTTGTCTTATACTTCGATTCATAATCACAAGCGTCACATTTGTATGTCGGCATTTGCGATTGGTCCTTGTGCTTCAACACGTGATACCTGATATTATTCTTGTGTTTAGCTTCGTAGTCACAGTCGTTACACCTGTACGTCTGGGCCTGCGGAGCACCTTTGTGCCTCAACCGATGGTAACTCAGACTCGACTTATACTTCGACTCGTAATCGCAAAGTTCGCACTTGAATATTTGCACTTGCGAAGAGTCTTTATGTGTCAACATGTGACGTACGAGATAAGGCTTGTGTTTAGATTTATAACCGCAGTCGTTGCACGAGTACATTTGAACCTCCGAAGGAAGTTTGTGAGTCAACTGGTGAAACTTAAACACGGACTTGTAGATCGTTTCGTGATTGCAAAAGTTGCACCTGTACTTGCTCGTTTGGCAAGGACTTTCGTGTATTAGCAGATGTGTCGCAAAGTGGTGCTTATTCCTCGTTTCGTAATCACAGTCGCTGCACTTGTATGTCGTTACTTCCGATGAGTCATTGTGTTTTATACGGTGATATTTAAAGCTACTCCTCCACTTCGTTTGGAAATCGCAAATGTTGCATTTGTACAATCGTGCTTTGGACGAACTTTCGTGGCTCCTCTGATGCTGCACAAAGCAGGCTTTGTGCTTTGACGTAAAAAAGCAGGCATCGCACTGATATCTCCGAACTTCGGAAGGTTCCTCGTGCATTAACAGATGTTTTTTACTTTCAATTTCTTCTACATCTTTACGGTCAGTATTCTCAGATGCTTCATTATATGAGCACTGCGGTAGTGTGACACTGGAAAAAAAATACATAACTAAGATACCATAAATTGCAACATTCAAAATAAGGTCATTGTTACTCGATGCCTAGACTTTCAGTTTGACAGAACTGACAGAGAGTGACCTGCTAATGCACATACCGATGAGTACTAATGAGCTCAAAATCAATACGTTTCTACTGATGAACTACTAAGTATTGCGGACTAATTCAATGCTAGTCAGGGGTGTTAGTCCACAGACTAGTTGTTTTTCATAATAATTAGTTATTAATCACAGTGTGTCCAATGTCGCAACATCTTGATTAATTTCGCTAATGAATTGCAAGTACCAACAAGAATATTTATTTTCTGAGCGTTTAACATCGTACTTTCGACAAAAGACGCATCAAATTTTGAGCTATGAAAAAGGTATAAAACAACAACGAAACAATGGCAATTTTCTTTTTTCTTAATTTATTATTGATCTTTGCCCCATTAAAACCATTATACGGACTTTAATCAAGTTCACAATTTTTAAAAAATGTATTTCCTTAAACTTTTACCATTTATAGAGAAATAAAACAGTTGCATCATATTAACAAATTAAATAGTAGTTCTTTCTTACCTCCCCTCTTCTTCTTCTTCTAATTTTACATCCTCACATTCAGTTTTGATGAATTGTTTGTTGAAGTTTTCAGACTTAATAAAAACTTCAAAGGGTGATATGTCTATCTGACTTTCTGTGGCTGAATTGCCACAAATATTTCCACTTTTTTCCTCTACTTCTAGGCAATCCTTCAGAAAATTGTTGTGGGTGCACAGAGAATCAAAGCACGGTTTACATATAACGGGATCTTTAACGATGTTTATGTTCTAGAAAATATTATTTTTAAAGGTAATACTCATAAATATTGTAAACAGTTCATACAATTTCAGGAACGAATTTCTCAATAGCATCGAGTTCCCCTTCAAGTATGTATCTAAATTCACCGTTTAGTAGCTGCATACACAATCGGCATATACGATGATACAGAATATCCTTTACCTCCTCGTTTGTCGTTTCTTTTATATAAATTTCTCTTAAATCCAGCTGCAATGTTTTCTCGCAGTCCACATAAGGAATAATTCTGTTATCGGTATTCAAACACGTCGACTTAAATTCGAATGCTGCATTTAATTTTTTTCTGCAAGCTTCACAAATTACGTCTTTTCTCCTACCATCAAATTTCTGAAATACATACAACCTGAGTTTAGCTGCAATAAAATAGGAATGGCTAAAGATTACTATTAAATAAATACTGATTTGTTTTACATGTACTGAGATAGCTACTTGAATCTAATACCTTTCACAGACTTACCAATTTGAGCATAAGAACATCTAGAATGTCTCTAGTGACATCGTTTATCGCTTCAATATTTCTGTCCGTTATATTTTTAAGGCAAAGTGTGCACGAAGTTTCCTCCTCAAAACTGGTCATTACAATTTGTTTTTTAAATGCTTAAACAAAATAGTGGCTGAAGTAATCACAAATTTGACAATATACTAACACATAACCTCAATTAATAACGAGGATATTGTTTTATTCTTCTTCCTCTTATTTGCACCACGATAATATAATGCACCATCAGACCGTATTCGCCCTTGTTAAAACTTTCCTTTTTCCCAAATTCAATTCAAATTCCATTATTCTATGGCTAGAAATTAGCCTCAATGATTTGGGATCGAGGGGGATTATCCCTCTTTATCCTGCCTCATCTCGTGTAGGCCTGGACAGCCTTCGTAGGTGGGCCCCATCCGTCGTCTACCCCGACCGCAAATGCGGCCGGTGTAGGCGCTTTGTGGGACCTCCTTTTGTCCTGGCTGGGCCCCGCCGGCTAGGGCCCTTTCTTCTGGCGCTCTTCTTGCTTCGCCGGCTCGTCTGTGTAAACCCCGGGGGTAGTGTCATGTTTATGTGTGGTATGGTTGGGTAGGGTAGTGCGGCTATGCAGCCTGGGATGCGCTTTGCTAAGGTGGCCCTTAGGCTAGCGCGGGAGGGGAGGGGTAAGGAGGGTATGGGGGGTGTGTATGTGTGTGTGTGTCGTTGTCTTCGTTTCTTGATCCTGGCTGTCTCTGAAACAGAAAAGGTTAGCGGGCAGGGGGGGGGGTCATTGGGGTGGTCACCCAGGGTCAAAAAGTTGGTGTCTAGGTCTTTTGTGTTTGTCGGTCACGTCGGGTACGTAGTCAACGGCTTGCCTGAGGAGGGGATTGTCATGTCTAGCGGCTACGTCAAATCGTTTCTCCGCGTTTTGTCTTATTGTCTGTGTAGCGTTTGTGTATTGTAAGTCTCGTAATATGTCAGTGTTTCTTACGTACCAGGGCGCGTCGGTGGCCGTGCGGAGGGCTATGTTTTCCACAGCCTGTAATGACTTTAAGTGGCTTTTTGCCGCGTGACCCCACGCCGTGGAGGCGTAGGTTAGCTGCGGTTGAAGTACCACCTTGATAAGCGTTCGCTTATTCCTTAAACTGAGGGTGTTTCCACCTTTGAGTAAGGGATAGAGCCTAGCCCTGGTGGTCTTCGCTCGCGCCACCGTCTCCACGATGTGCGGTTTCCACGTGAGACGCTGGTCCATCGTCACGCCCAGGTATCGTGTTTGTCGATTCCAGGAGATAGGTTCCTGGGATAGTGTCAGTCTGTCGAGGTTTTGTGGGATTTTTCGTTTGGTAAAAAGGATAGCCGAACTTTTGTTGGGATTAATTTTGACTTTCCACCTGTTGCACCAGGTTTCAAGTTGGTATAAGGAGTTTTGGAGGAGGGAGACGGAATATCTAGGATCTACGGATTGGGATGTGATTGTCAGGTCGTCGGCGTATAAGTATATGTTGGTGTTGGGGGGATGTGCCATAAAAACAAAAATCGCTGGAGGAGTGAAGCCCATATCGCAATATGCGTTTAAAAATTGCTTCGACGACTGTTTTTTTTTTTTATAAATTTTGATGATTGAATATATTGTTTTATTAACAATCTATGTAACATAACCACTTAACATCTAAAACTAATCTAAGAACACCAAAACCCGACTCCGAAGTCTCCTCTTCCTCTTCTTCTTCTACAAACTACGCAAGCTCCCGCGAAATTTAAACTTTAAAACGGGGTTACTACAAAATAAATTTTTAGGGGAATTATAACTACATAAATTTGATCGAGTTCACTTTGAAGTATTACAAATGTTTCAATGTCACTATCACTTTCGAGAGTTTAAGTTTTTTAGTTTAATGTAATTAACTACAACTGAACGGCAACATTTAAAGCGACCCTTACTTCTTTGCGTCAGTCACACTTATCCTTTTCCTCTTTCAGTACGTTTCTGTGACTCAAAACGTGGCGTACGAGGTCCCTCTTGTGCCTAGTTCCGTAATCGCAGTCGTTACACTGGTACATCCTCAGTTCCGAAGAACCTTTGTGCCTCAATTGGTGACACGTAAGATTTTTCTTGAACCTCGTTTCATACTCACAAATACCGCACTTGAACATCTGCACTTCGGACTGCGGTTTGTGATTCAAACGGTGCTTCTTCAAACTTTCTTTATACTTCGTGCTAAAATCGCATTCCTCGCAAGAGAACATCTGCACCTGCGTGTCGTCTTTGTGTTTCAGCATGTGATACGTGAGACTGCCCTTGTGTCTAGTCCCGAAATCGCACTCATTGCATTTGTACAATCGCACGTTCGACAAGTCCCTGTGCATCAACCGATGCCTGTTAATGCTGCACTTGTACTTCGATTGGAAATCGCACACTTCGCAGCTGTACATCGGCGTTTCTGAGGGGCTTTCGTGCTTCACCTGATGCTGAATAACGTTGCGTTTGTACTTGGTCTCGAAATCGCACAGGGTACACCTGTACATAGGTACCTCCGAAGGGTCTTTGTGCTGTAGCTGGTGCCTCTGCAGTAATTTCTTCTTTGTGGTTTTGTAGTCGCACGTTTTACATTTATACACTCCGGAATCGTGTCTCGCACAATGTCCCCTAAATCGGCTTTCACTTTTGGTCTGGTAAATACATTTGCCGCACTTATACAGTCCTGTACTTGTTGGGAATCGAGGGAGTGTAACGTGGTCGACCACTGATTCATTTCTATGTGTAAATCCGTCTTTTTCTGCTTGTTTAAGGTCCTCTTTTTCAAATGTTTCATTATTCGAGTACCACAGCGACGTGTCACTGAAACAAAATTGCTTATTCATAAAAATAACTATTTTTCTGGGAAAAAAATTTGATATAAAAGTCAAATACGCATATTTTTTTAATGGAAATTTTTTCAATCATTTAGGGTTTTCTTTATTATAAAGTCAAAATTTGGGTTAAATTCCTTAAATTAATTACAATTCGCTCTTAAAACATGTTATTGTCTTTTAAACGAGAATCCAACAGTGTATTAGTTAGGTTTATCCTGCAGTACGAAATAAAAATAAATGTTCTCCATAATTTTTTGACACATGACTTGGCAACCTCTTAATTCGTTAGTGCAGGTGCATAAATGATTATTTTTCTCATGTGGATAATGGTTTTCAAGCCAATTTTACAAAAATATCCATAAATATTTGTAATTTTGACCAATGTCTTACTGGATTTATATACATTGCGAATTATATGAAGCCGTACTTTGCAACTATCGAAATACTTTGTTTTCAGTATATTTCGACTACACTGTCAAATTATTAACTTAAACATCTGTTGTTTTTTGAAAAATAAAACAACAGCTTTCAAAGTTGCTACACCTCGAGTTAACGAAAAATAGTTGCTTTTTACCTTTCGTCTTCAAATTCTTCGGATTTTACTTCAACGAATTCAGGTTTTACTGATATATCCATCTCGTCAATTTCAAATTCCGCATCCAATTTTTCAGTCTTGATAAATAAATTAGATGACAATGTATTTGTTTGACTATCTGACGCTGAACTATCACAAATACCTCCAATTTTCTCCTCAACTTCTAAACAATCTTTTATAAAGCTGTTGTGAGTGCACAGGGAATCGAAGCAATGTTTACATACAATGGGGTCTCTAACGATGTTTATATTCTAAAATCACAATATTTTAAACTGGAAATAATGCAAGTATTTAATATAATTCGTACCATTTCGGGAGCGAAATTGTGAATAGCTTCGAGTTCCTTTTCATGTATGAATCTATATTCAAATTTTAACTGCATACACAACCGACATATTTTTTGATCCTGCGACATATCCGTTAACAACTCGCTTCCCGTTTCCTTCATATACACTTCTCTTAAGTCGAGTTGTAGCATTTTCTCACAATTCACGTATGGCGTAATTATGTTATCGGTACTCAGACACATTGTTTTAAATTCGAATGCTGCATCCAATTTTCTTTTGCAAGCGTTACATATAACCTCTTCGCTTGCACCAACAAATTTCTGAAACATGTACATATTTTAGTAAGCAGAAAATTAAAATAAACTTGTAAAGTCGCTTTACAAGTGTTGGGAGTTGTACAAACCAGACATTTAAATCTAATAACTTTCACTAACTTACCAATTTCCACAAGAGGACATATAAAATGTTTCTAGTAGCATCGTCTACTACTTCAAAACTTTTATCTGTCACAGTTTTAAGGCAAAGCCTACACGGAGCTTCCGTAGAACTAGTCATTGCAATAATTTTCTTGCAAATATAAGGTAGTATAAATATAATAGTGAATGTGATATCCTTAGGTATGCCTATTATAACCTCAATTAAAAAGTTGAAAGCGGAAAAATTCAGTTCTTATTCCCGGAAAAACACTAGGGCTGCTTTCTTTTGCACATCAGAATGTTTAGTTGTAGAAATGCAATTTGAAGACTAGTTGTTATAACCTCAATTAAAATATTCTTCTTCTTCTTTAATAGCTTTTGCAGACATTTAACCTACTACCATCCATAGATTAACCTACTCAAGAGAAGTAATCCTGTATTAAACATTTTGTATCAAAAACAACGGCGCCCTCGATGATGGTACGAAGAAAAACTGTCAATGGTGGCATTTACTTGGATTCCAACCGCGAAGCATAGTAATTCTTATAGAAAAAATCCTGGATGGCGACATATAGTGCAATGTATCTATTTATAGCAGTATAAGTATAACAAAATATTTATTGCAGTATTCATGTTTTATAGGTATTTATTTTCGAAGGTGTTGAACACAAATATGATAACTTATAATAATCAATTATTTTTATATAAAAATTAAATTGTATTCAGAAATGTTGAACGAGTGTGGTGAAATGTATTATTTTCAAGTTACAGGACTCTGAAAATTTTAGAAAAGCTAGTTTTTTTTTTAATTATTAGAAAAGCGTTTCTAATTTCATTGAACCCATCCAGGTCTGTTAGTAATAATGGAATAAATCTTTGATGCAATTAGATTTTATTTATTTATTTAATAACTAGAAATATGACAGGCCCTTGCTTTCTGTTGCACCTATGAAGCATTTTTGTGCTTGAAACGGTGTTGATAAATGCTGGGCCTGTGCTTCGTTTCGAAATCGCAAACGTCGCACTTGTACAATTGCGTACTTTTGTGTTTGACCTGATGCTGAATGAGATTGGTCCTATACCTCGTCTCATAATCGCACTCACTGCATTTGTACGTTTGAACCTGAGAAGCATCTTTGTGTGCCAACTGATGCCGAGTCAAATTCACTTTATACTTCGATTTAAAATCACAAGCTTCGCAGTTGTAAACGAACACTTCTGAAGGGTCCTTATGTTTCAACGCGTGTCGTACGAGACAGTCCTTATGTTTAGTTTTGTAATCGCAGTCCTTACACGAGTACATTTGTACCTCCGAAGGAAGTTTGTGCTTTAACTGGTGACTCGTGAAGCGAGACTTATGGTTCGTTTCGTAACCACACGAGTCGCACTTGTACTTATACTCTCGCGCTTCCGAAGGATCTTTGTGTGTCAACAAGTGAGACGTGAGACTGTATTTAATCTTCGTTTCGTAATCGCAGTCGCCGCACTTGTATGTCCTTACTTCCGAGGAGTCCTTATGTTTGATTTGGTGACGATAAATGCCGGATCTGTACACCGTTTTGAAATCACAAACGTCGCATTTATAAATCGGTGCTTCTGACGAACTTTTGTGTTTCACTTGATGTTGAATAAGGCCGCTCCTGTACTTTGTCTCATAATCGCACGTATCACACCGGTACATTAGAATCTCCGAAGGGTTTTGGTGTTTTAACTGATGGCTCGTTAGAGCGGACTTATAATTCGTTCTGTAATCGCACAAATGACAAGTGTACTTTCGCACTTCCAAAGGACTTTTGTGCCGCTCCTGATGCTGAATGAGGCCAGTCCTGTACTTTGTTTCGTAATCACATTTATCACATTTGTACAATCTTATTTCCAAAGGATCTTTGTGCCCATTCACTGACTTTTTCTCCTCTTTCCATGTATTTTTTAATTCATCTACATCTGCATCCTTATAACCACTGCTCTCAGATGTTTCATCATTCGAGCATCGCAGTTGAGGGTCACTGAAACAAAAATTGCATGCATAGGATGAATCTTGTATGTATATTTTAACTACTTTATGAAGTTATAATTTTACTTTAAACCGTTGCCCACATGGAAGTGACAATGCACGCGCACCAACAAAGTGGGAGTTTGCCAAGTTATGTGTCAAGAAAATTATTTAAAATAAGACCCCGATCTTTTCGATATCTGATGATTTTCAATATTTGAATGATTAGGTTTGTACATATTTCAAATAATAGAACCTTATAATTATCGAACTAGCCTTGTATACTACAAAATCAGTTTGTACAAACAAGGCTATTATAAAATAGTTATTTTTGTATCTAGAACGCAAAATGGTATTTTTGCATTCAAGAAAGGAAGTTATTCTCCATTTGAGAATGCAAAAACATTTCGCATTCAAGATGCAGATGCAAAGATTCAGTTTGTCAACTGAAAATTTAACAAAAATATCAACTTTTGATGACAGTTTTCGAAAAATAGTTATTTCGTACCTCCCATCCTTATATTCTGATTTTACTTCTACGTATTCGATTTTGACTGATACTTCCAAGTCCTTAATTTGCGATTCTTTGTCCAGGCTTTCGGATTTAATGAATAAATTAAACGCCAATGTATTACTTTCATTCTCTGTAGCTGAACTCTCAGAAGTACCTGTGATATTTGCGTTCATTTTTAAGCAATCTTTTATGAAAGCATTGTGAGTGCATAGAGAATTAAAACATGGTTTACATACAACGGGATCTTTGATGATGGTGATGCTCTACAAAATAAAATTCTTAAAATTCCAAAAAATGCAGCAAGTAATTAACATTATTCGTACCATTTCCGGAAGGAATTCTTGAATAGCATCGAGTTCCTCTTCGAGTATGCATCTAAATTCACTTTTTACTAGCTTCATACACAATCGACATACATTTTGATCGCATTGAATAATAGCTTTATTGGTATTCATACAAATTGTCTTAAATTCGAAAGCTGCATTTAATTTTCTTTTGCAAGTATTACATATAATCTCTTTGCTTGTTCGAACAAATTTCTGAAAATTACAGATAAAGAAAACTTGAACTGGTTTTAAATTATTATCTTTCACCGACTTACCAATTTCGGCAGGAGAACATTTAAAATGTGTCTTGTATAATCGTCTACTGGTTCGAAACTTTTATCTGTTATACTTTTACGGCACAGCCTACACGATGTTTCCTTCAAACCAGTCATTGCAGTAACTTTCTAAATTCTAAAATGTAAATACAAAATTGTGAATGGAGTTATGATTTTTATAACCACATTTAAAAATTAAGAGATCAAATGCGGAAAATGAATTGTTCCTCTTCCTCTTCTATTACCGGTATTATGGAACTATCCCAAATATCGGATACTTTTTGTATGTACCATAAGGTCCGTATTCGTCTTTCCTCATACTCATATAGCCTACAAGCGGCTAGATTTATAAAGAACCCCTTAGTTAAGGGTAAGTATTTTTATTATAGTTATTTCTCTTTCGTTTTACATTTAGCCTTTTGTAATAAGCTCTATAGTTTTGTAGCTGTAATAAAATTTACCCATATAGGCAATGGCATACGACGTTGCCAGTTTATTTTTATTACTAAAAATTTAGGTAAATTAATTTGTTCAAATAATACGTCACGTTGTGACCATATATATATCATATGTATTCCGCCATAGCATTAAATTAATGTTCTTTTTTAATTTTCCATTAGGGTTTTTTCATTGGGACCATACTTCGCCATTATTCTATGGCTAGAAATTGGCCTCAATGATTTGGGATCGAGGGGGATTATCCCTCTTTATCCTCCAGACGAGCAGTTCGCCTTCCGACCCAATCACTCCACTGAACTCCAAATCCTTCGCCTTACCGCCGCCATTATTCTATGGCTAGAAATTGGCCTCAATGATTTGGGATCGAGGGGGATTATCCCTCTTTATCCTGCCTCAT